TCCGACGTCCGACCAGACGTCCGGTCGGACATCCCGGACGGTCAAGGGGGTCCCGGTCATCCGGTAAAACAACCTAGGTTTTGACAAAATTCATGTTTTACCCTGTGTAGCATCGCGTTCGGGCTCAGTGACCGAACCCGAACGCTCGGTACTGAGCCTGAACGTGGCCCAAAATCGACCGAGCCCAAACATTTTTACTTTAAAAAAAAATATATTATTTATTAATATATATAGGGGTTGAGGGGCCCTTGGGGGCATTGCTCATCACTCCTGAACAATGAATATATACATACACATACACAAACACACACTACACACATGCAGACGCATACACCCCAGACACACCCCACACACCATACACATACGAGGACGCGTTCGGCAACCCCCTGACTTGCACTCCGCCGGACATGTTCGGTTCCCTCTCGGTCGAGCGTCCGAACATGCTCGACTGCTCGGTGGTACGCCGAACATGTTCGGTGTGCTATATTGGTTTTACCTTGACTTAGCATAAATTTGGGAAATTTATCCCTGTAAAGAAAATGCTGCCTATTTTTTTACTGAATTAAGGAGTTAAATAAATCTGACTTCTGAAGTTTAGAAGATCGTTTTCAAATTTTATATTTCAATCATATATAAATTATGTAAGGGGATATATTCTACGAAAATCGGTACCGAAATTTTATGAAATTAAGAGGAGTTTGAAAATTTTAGAGCTTCAAAATTTGACAGTTTATCAATGCTGACAGGAGATACTGCTGAAATTTATAGCATTTTCAGACAGATATCAGAGGTGAGATAAAAAAGATACGAGTATTTCATACTCAATTTAGTATGGGTTGGGCACTGACCTATGGTGTGCTACATATACATTTTGACTCAGATTGATTTGAGGCTTAATTAACTTCAAGATGATCATGCGAGGATCATTTTCTCTTATCATTTAATATTAGATCGGTTTTCCGGCCCAACTCTTAAGTCATTTTCGTCATTCATCCCAAAGACCTTAGCCCCTATGGGTTGAACTTTTTCTTTGAGTTTTTACCAGGACTTTTGTCAAATAGTCATTCTAAAAGAGACCGATTGTTTTATTAAGGAAGGTTGGGTAAAGGTTGGGGCTTGTGTGAATAAGGCGAGAGGTGTGAGCGTAAAGAGTAGTTGAAGTTAACCCCGTGTAGTGTATGCTCTGTCGATGTGGAATCTTTAATGTGATTGCATACATGTTTACTGAGTCGAAATCCAAATTTGATTTTGCCTGTGACAATAAGTATATCTTGAAGGAAGTTACACCGTGATTGTGAGAATGATCGCCTCATGTTTTGTAAAACCTATTGTGTGTGTGTGGTACATCCACTCGGTCTACTATGACTGTGGGTGTTGGTAAAAAATACCTAAGATGAGAGAAAATAAATATTTTTTATATTTTTTGTTTCTTATAATAATTATAGTTGGACGTTAAAGTTTGTAGCGACTATCAAAGTCAAACCCCTTGATGTGTTTCGATACCTTAAATAATGGAACCTCAGTTTCAGTATTAGGGGCGTGCAATCACTACAAAGGGTCGAAGCCCGTCTACGACTCATCTGCGCAGGGTGCATAAGAGGGTAGAACTCACAACTGCCTTTGCAGTTGTCTAACGTCAAGAGATTGACCCCTCAAGACGTGTGTCAATCGACACTTGAGTGTCGAAGGCGACCCTTAAAATTATTGAGGGCCGCTCGAGTACGAGTACCATATGGTACACCATCACTGTGATTGCTTGCGTACCCTTGTATAGTTACTCGACGATTTGATGAAGGCATGTGTCGCCATAATATTTATTATGAACCTCACGCGAGATACTCGTCTAATTCTTTCAGTAAAAGTTATAGGTCAGATGTGAAAAACGGGACTAGGCACGATTTACATTTGAAGTTTGATATTATCGTTGATGAGGTGTATCGCGTAATAAGATTTGACCGTCGTAGTCGAGCGGTGTAAAACCACGTTCGAGAGATCGCCTCGAGCGACGATTCGCGCACGAGTCCGATTTGGGTGTTAACCGCGCGTACTCCCTATGCTACAATGAACGAGAAAACACCCTCGTTCGGGCCCCCTCAGGGTCAGACTCTGTGATTGCATACGAAAAACGGTTCGGTAGGTCGGCGGCGGTACGCCCACCGAAGAGATGGTGACAACTCCCACGGGTTGAGGTAAGTTGTACCTCTCGTGACCCTATCCTGTCGTAGGGATTCGCGAGAGGTATGGTTGGCGCACTTGGCCAGAGGGACAAACACTCTACGTGACAAGCCCTGCAAAATCCTGTGTGACGCGGCCGGGAGTGTCCCCCCGTGCAAGACCGATGCGCTCGACATCGCATTGGGGAGGTGACAGATGTAGTGCTTAGGGTTTGACTGGGATCATCGATTAAGCAAAACCCTGCTCTGACTTCGCCCCCTCTCATGGTGCTGAATGGTCCATGTAGCGGTAGATGAGTTTATCAGGGCAGGGTAATGATGCTAGGGTTTCCATGAGCAGGTAATCCTCTCGTACGAAGGCAATCAATGCTGCTCATCAGTAAATTTCTGCACACATACTACAAACAGGTTTGTTCAAACAAATGACTATGATGTTCAGGGACACTGGACCCGCTTTCCAGCAGGGGCGTGGTCCCACTAGCAAAGAGGATCGGGTCGAATGCCTGAATCTGGACGAGTTTATGGAGATGTGCAGGAAATTGAGATTGAACTGCTTTTCTGCTTCTGTGCGTAAAACACAACCGGATTCAGGAGCTGGATCCTATCCTTTTTGCTAGTGGGACCTCGGCCCAGGTGTAGCTCCCCACCAATAGATTGGTGGAGCCTCCCCCAGAGTGCTAGTGGTGTCTGCTCCAATCAGCACCCAGCTGGGGCTGCGTTTTGCTAGTGGTGTCTGCACCCCAATAAAAAGAATGAACTGTGGTCACTACCGCGGTGAAGAGGCTGAACTGTAGGCAGTACCGGGATACCGTCTTGCAGGGCCAAAGCAGGCGCAGGCGCGAACTGCAGAGCTAACACAGCACCATCGGGCCTCCCTCCCAGAATCAAATAAATTGAACTTTCAGCGGCGCACGACAAATTTTCCCCGAAACGGGAAAAAAAAGGGGTAAAAGTTCCGTAAAACAAAAAACGGAAAGAACCTTCCGAAGTACCTGCACCGATGGGACGTCCTGAACTCGTCTTCTGATTGTGCGTTCTCAGTGCTGGACGTATGTCAGGACAGAGGAAGCAAGATTCAGCGCATACTCCCACCATCGGCAAGGTTTGTTCTGACTTTATTAGTTGTGCACTGGATTACGCTCAGATGCATCAAGGTCTCGCCGTAATTGCCGTCACATGCATTACGGGAACTGCTAGTGTGAGCGCGCCTTCACGGCAGCAGATAGACGTCTGAGGTGGGAAATTCCTCGTAAAAAAAAAGAAAAAAAAAAAAAAAAAGAAAATTCCTCGTTGCTTTTGTCTTTCTCACAGTTGAGGAGTGGCGGAGGAAAGCCCTGACCTTAAAAACCTAGAAAAAAACAAAACAAACAGAAAAAAAAACAAAAAAGCTCTGACCAGTCGTTATCGCCACGCTGGCACGGAAGCTCCAACGTGTATATGATGGCGGTTGTCTCCATGCACACACTGGCATTGGGCCTCGGCTCACCAAATGCGAAAACGACAAAAAAGAATGGCGGGTGTATCTTTCCGCGTTCTGGAAGAAGATACACACCCCCCATTTCGGTGTATCTGCTTCCAGAGCGTGGAAAGATACACCCGCCATTCTTTTTTGTTCACATGTTTGGTAAGCGCCTAGGTAGTTCCACAGCCCGCCATCCGCCACCCTTCGAATGCATCTGGACGCCTTGTTTCGTCGAGATGCATTCAAATTCAAAGTCTTGGCGAATGGCGAGTGGTGCAACTAGGCCCTAAGTCGTGCGGCGCGGTCAATTTTTTTTGTTTTTTTTGTTTTTTTTTGTTTTGAGTACGCTCACCGCAGGTTTTTTCCTGGACTGGAATTGGCTGATCCTCCTACCTCGTACATCGTACACCGTACGCCACCGAACTTACAAAAGGCGGTGGCGTGTATGTCACCCCAAACGGTGGGAAAGGTTGACAGTCGCTAAGCATCATAGTCATATCTGGCAAGGGAAAGTCGTCCCCGTCGCCATAGCCAGCTATTCACTGTTGACCTTGGCACTACCGTTGCGTGTTCGTTCGACATCACCATGGATGAGCCTATTCGCGTCCTCGTCACTGGAGCTGCCGGTTTGTACTCTCTCTCTCTCTCCCTCTCTCTCTCTCTCTCTCTCTCTCTGTGTGTGCTTTCGCATAGTATCTCTGCAGCTTGTCGTCTCTCTTACTCTCTCTCTCTATCTCTCTCTGTCTCTCTCTTGCTCTCTCTCTCTCTCTCTCGCTGTGTGCTTCCCCATAGTCTCTCTGCAGCTTGTTGTCTCTCTTACGTCTACATCGCGCTTTCCCCGACTCTACGTTTCCTTGGGCCTCGTCGCACCATTCACCGAATCCTGAACAGACGAATTATGGCGGTGGGTATTTCCTTGTTTTAGGCAAAGATTCATTGTCCTTTTGGATATTTGGGGAGTTGTGCGGCGAGGCCCTTTCTCACGTTGTTTCTCTTGCTCACCATTTGTTTTGTTGTTCTGTTCCTGTTGGATTGTGTTTGCTCCTGTGTGTGGGTCGGCAATGAGTCGCGCTCGTGCTAGGACAAACCTTTGTTAGTAGATTCCTTTTCGTAGTCGGACACGGAATGTTTTTCCCTCGCGATACATTTTGAAGTCCGGTGGTCCTTTCCCTTGATCGAGAACTGAAAGATTTCTGTCTTCTCCTCTTTGTTAAGTAGATTTCTGTCTTCTCCCCTTTGTTAATTAGTTTCGATTTTGTTGATGTGATGGAGAACTGAAAGATTTCTGTCTTCTCCTCTGTGTTAATTAGTTTCAATTTTGTTGATGTGACGTGAACTTCTCTCGTTTTTTTCCCTTTGTTGACCTGTTAGCCGTGCTTATTCCGTCTTTACGCGAATAGAACGCCTGGTCATTTTATCTGTATTTGGAACAACTTTCAGTCTAGATTATTCCATGATTTGACGGAGCGGAAAGGGAGGGGGTGCTATGTTCTGATTAATCCAGGAAGTTGCTCTGGCGTCACATGAATACAATTCAGTGTTTTATTTTTTTATTTTAAATTACGACCATTATCGATGAATGTAGACTGGAAGGTGGTCCACAAACGGCTACAATGACCGTGCGTTCGATTCGACAGGTGAACAGGGAAGGTGGTTGTCAGAGCATATTAGTTGGATTTGGATTACGACTGTCCTAGATATAGTCGACCGAGATTGCGGACGGTTCTGGATGTATCTTACCGAGCTTATGTGCAAAGTTCACTCGATTACGAGTTCCAGTAGTAGGACGTCCCCTGTGCTCTCAACACTACACATCACCGCAGGGCGGTTCTTTGCTGTGGTAATGTTCTTGTTTTTTTTTTTTGTTTTTTTTTTTGTTCTTTTCTTTGAGACAGGACATGGCGGCCGACTGGTCGTAACAAGAGTCGGGGAGGGGAGGCTGGCCACTCAGGTGTCTGATTCATAGCAACGCGGGACATCGCTCATCATGTTAATATACAGCAGGAAGGATCTGTGCAATGTTTCTGGTCTTTTTTTTCGTATAAGTCGTTTGTACTTCGAGTCTTGACTTATCATTTGTTTTGCTTCCCGATCTCCTTTGCTTCGTTTTTGTTTTTGTTTTCTTTTTTTAATTAATAAGTGTTTTTTTTTTGTGATCTGGGATTAACAGCTCTTGCCTGGTTGCGACTTGTCATTTGTTTTGATGTCTCGTTTCTCCTTCGGTTATGATGTCTTTGGTGTTATTATTTATAAATTTGTTATTTTCATGTTTAGCTTGGAAGTCTCGGTCATGGCGTCGCTCGGTTTAAATTTCTTCTGGGTACTTCTTGGTATTGATTTCGCTTTGTGACCGCTTCTTTTTTCGGTGCGTCTTTTGTGACTGTGTGAGCAGGTCAGATCGGCTATGCTCTGGTTCCGCTGATTGCCAGGGGGCATTTGTTGGGCGCGAACCAGCCCGTCATCCTGCACATGTTGGACATTCCCCCATGCGCCGACTCTCTCAAGGGTGTGGAGATGGAGCTTTTGGACGGTGCCTTCCCGCTTCTTCGAGGTGAGAAAGAGGTCTCATTGGTTGATTGAGCTCTGGTTGACTGATAGGACTCAGGCTTATTGATTGGACGGACTCTGGTTGTTGATGATTGGTTTCAAAAGTCTGGTCGATTGATTGGAGTCTGGTTTGATTGGTTGGTTTCAAAGGTCTGGTAGATTGACTGGATTCTGGTTGATTGATTGGACTCTGGTTGATTGATGTACTCTGGTTGATTGATGGGTTTCAAAGGTCTATTTGATTGATGGGTGGTCGATTGGTTGGAGTCTGGTTTGATTGGTTGGTTTCGAAGGTCTGGTTGATTGACTGGACTGATGGGTTTCAAAGTCTTGGTGGGTTTATGTCCATTGGGGATCATTTTTTATTTTTGTCTTTTTTGGTTCCCGGCGGTTGATCGGGTTAGTCGTCGGTTGATTGGTCGTTAGGTGGTCTGATGGTTGTCGATCGTTTTGTTCGGTCTCTTATTGGTAACTGAATGATTAGGTCGGTCTTTGGATGATGCGATCGGTTGTTGAGTGCTCTGATTTGTCGCTGGCTCATCTAAAAGGTTGATGGATGATTGGAAACGAGGCCGGATGATTACGAAGTTCGCTGGACGATATGGACGGTCGCTGGACGACGATACGAAAGGTCGGTATTTGGAGGGGTCTCGTGACGGGTGGAACGTCGCTGGATTATTTGATCGATGGTCGGACAGATCAATCATCAATCACGTCACCCAGATCAGCGACGCCATCCATGGACACATTATTGGACGATTTGAATGGTCGCTGGACGATTTGATCGACCATCCACAGACGAAAAATTCTTTAGCCTCCCGAATCCCCCCTATCATCGACCCACAGAAAGATCCACCAGTCACTTCGGCCTGATCATCCACCCACCCATGAAAAAATCTTCAGACCATCGTGGAAAGATCTTCCACCCACCCACGGACATGATTCACCTCCACCCATGGACAGGTCCACCACCTGCCCACGGAAAGGTCTTATCACTCACCCACGGACTGATCAAGCCACTACAATCTCCACGGATCGATCAAGCTCTCACGATTCGATCAAGCACTCGCAATCCGGTCAAGCACGCGCGATCCGGTCAAGCACTCGCGATCAGATCAAGCACTCGCGATCCGATCAAGCACTCGCGATCCGATCAAGCACTCACGATATAAAGCATTGATATCAAGCTCTCACGATCCGATCAAGCACTCGCGATTCG